TGTCCCTGAGCACCATCTCCAGTACAGAGGAGAAAAGGAGAGACTCGTGGCCTTTGGTCATTGACCTGGGCTTGTTGACAGAATCCTAGAGTGGGTGGCCAAGCCATTTATGGGATAGCCTAGCCACACGGTGCTGGGAATCCCACATGTAAACTGGCCACCATGGCGTTTGTGCTGTGGGTGGTAGGTTTTCTTGGGAGCCCATCTGGGGGAGAAGGTAGGAAGCTGCTTGGGGAATTTCCCAGGAAACCTGGGAATTGGGTTCAGAGCTGACTTTACCAGGAATGTGACCCTTTTTTCCATGTCTCAGTTTCTTTCTCTATAAAAAGGGGACCCTGACTCCTGCTCCGCCTGCCTCCTGGGGGGTCGGTACCAAGGAGTGATTACAAACAGGGGTGCAGATCTCAGGCCAGACGCCAGCCAAGTGACTCACCCCTGTGCATCTTCGTTTCCTCTAAGATGTAAAATGGGGCTGGTAAGAATAGCTACCTTATCAGGGTTGCTGGGAGGAGTGAGTGAGATAGCACACATTGGGTTAACTCAGCCAGGCACATACTAAGGGATAAAAGGCTATTGGCTATCAAAAGACACAGCAGCAGTCAGCCTGGCCAGGTTGTGAAGGAGGAGCCTTCTTACTCTCACCTGCTGAAAAGCTCTCAGTGTTTGGAGTGGACTTTAGAATCCTACACCGTCTAGTTACTGACTGGTAGTGAGGCCCAGGGTGAGTTTGTTTTCTTTTAAACTTTCTGAAGCCTCTATTTTCTCACCTACAGGATGGGTAGCTAATAGCGACAGCCTCACAGCATTGTGCAGTGTGGACTAGCCAGCACATTAGGAATTATCCGGCACGTGGAAGGGCCACAGGAATTGGTAGCGTGTGTGTGTGTAAAGTGGTGTTCACTGCGGTGGACCCATGTCAGACCTGGGAACACCTGGGAAGTGGGTAGAGCTGACAGTCTCTACCCTTCTGTTCCCACTTGCCACGGAGGATGCTTGTGACAAGAGAGGATCCCAAGGCAGGCTCTGAATAGGCACTTTGCTAAGATGCAAGAGGAAGGATGGGAGGAGGAAACAAGAGGCTGTACGTCTGTTCTGCACTAGGGCTTCTGCGAGCTGGTTATTTTATGGACTCCTCACCAGAACCCTGCGAGGTTTTTCCAAGGACCCTTGCCTTACAGATGGGGACATGAAGTCCCCAGGGCACCAAGGACTTGCTGGAAAAGCGGCACCTAGGTGGAGCCCACACCTGAACTTGTCTGCCTCCCAAACTCCTAGCAAGGGCTCAGTAAATGCAGCTGTATTTACAAGCATGCAGTGAAGATAAGGAGGCTCCAGATCTGCCTCCTGAGGCCAAACCTTCTAGACTTTGTTATTCTGATCGGGGTTCTTTCCCTCAGTTTCCAGACTTGTTTCTTTGGGAAAATGCCAAAACTGCCCTGGCTGACTTGGGGAGGAAAGGGAGTGGCCATGCCCTGCTCACTTCACCAGGGTGGGCACACTGGCTTAGAGAAACTAACTGGTGACGGGGCCCTGCCAGCTGGTGATATTGGACAAGCTAGTAGAACTGGGGATGGCAGAAAGGGGAACATGCAAGACAGGGTTTGTGGAGAAAGCCTAAGTTTCTACATCCTTTCTGGCCAGGGCTTTTGCCTTCTGCCTTTCTCAGATGAGAAGGATTTTCAGACAGATGGGAAAGTAGAGAACATTAGAATCAAATCTTAATGTACAGGTAGGGAAAGTGAAGCCCAGAGAAGGGAAGCAACATGTACACACTCACATAGAGAGTGAGTGCAAGAGCAGAGGGTCCCTGCCTTGTGTTCTGGGTGCATATTCATGCATTCATTTGTTCCTCCGTTCAAGGGTCCATTGAGTGCCTGTTATGTGATGTATAAAGACTCAGGTCAACAACAGACATGGTCCTTGCTCAGACTGAGCTGGCATACAAGTACAGAAGCCTTTCAGAATGAGATGACGTGATATGAGATGAAGGTGACGATGCGATCTTTGGTCAGACCAATGAGGGAGGAGGTGAGACTTGAGACAAAGACCTGAAGAATGGAGGAGCAGCTGGCCAGGAAAGAGCAGTGAGGGGAGAGGAAGGTTGATGGCTAGAGACTTGCTCAGATGGTGGTTCTCTATGGAGGCTGTCGGACAGTGTCATCCCAGCCAACAGGAGGAAAGGTCACAGAAGGGGTTCATTTAGAAGAAAACGATGCTAATGATCCACACAACCTTCTGAATTTGTGTTCTATTACAGAAAGTTTTATCTGTTCAGTAATTCCAGGTTATCTGCCAATAATTATGTTTAATTTTGTAAGGTATACAACAGTGATCTCGTACTTTGGTGTCACTTTTTCCATAAAGTTTGGATTATGGGCAAAAAAAAAGGTAGGAAAACAATTGTAGTATTTGAGGAACCAATAAATAAGCTACCAAGAGTCAGGAAGAGAAAGGGGCCAGAGGTGGTCAAAGAAGTGTGTGTGGAGATCAGATCATGCAAGGCCTTGAACTCATGGTAAGGACTTTGGGTCTTATTCTAAGAGATCTGTTCAATTTTTGCCTGTGTGAGACGCAGCGGGAAGCTTTTTCTCTTTTAAGCTTTTTCTCTCTCTCTATTTAAGAGAGAGAAATCAGATGTGAGACTCTCTCTAATGGGTCCTAGAGCTCAGTGAGAAAGAATTATAGAGAGAACTCTGCACAGGACATTAGAGGTAACCGGATCATTCTAATGTTAGCATGTGGCAAGGACAGGAGAAGAGACTAGATAAAGGAAAGGGTTGAGTTGAGGACAAAGAAGCCGCTGAAGTCAGGGAGGTGGGAGAAGGGGACAACAGGCAGCAAAGGTGTCACCGATGGTGAAATGTGAGCTGGCGGGAAATCTGATTCAGCACAAGCCTCTCCTGAGTGTGAGGCCACGTGCTGGGGTTTCTGGATGTTTATTTGTGTTCGGACTTCACAACCGTATGAAATGTGTGGTCTTTTTAAAAATCACCCTTTTATGGATATAGAATCTGAGGGTCATGGCAGTGGAGGGATTTTCCCCAGATTGCTCAGTGACTGTGAATCCACCAAGGAGACCAGTCCAGGCCTCCTGGCTCCCATGATGGTACTCTCCCCATTTGACCTCAGCTGTTAGATTTGGACTTGGCCCCACCATCAGTTTCCCCACTTGGACTGGAGAATTTCCTCTATGTCGTTTAGAGGCTGTGGAAGGATATTCTAGATTAGAAGGCACAGCCTTCACAAAGGCATGACAACTAGGTAGTCCGTGTCCTGAACAGGGAACAGCAAGTAGTTGTAAGCAGAAAGACACTGCGTGGAAGAAGCATCTATGAGAATGCTTAGCGTTCTCGTGAATGCTTATGAATTTTTTAAATGTTTATTTTCGAAAGTGAGAGAGAGGCACTAGTTGGGGAGGGGGAGAGAGAGAGGGAGACAGAGGATCCAGAGCAAGCCTGTGCTGACAGCAGAGAGCCCAACACGGGGTTCGAACTCATGAGCCATGAGACCGTGACCTGAGACAAAGTCTAACACTCAAACGACTGAGCCACCCAGGCACCCCTGAATGCTTATGAATTTAAATTGAAAAGAGAAACAGAGATGTGCTAGTCATGGGTACAATGAAAGAGAGAGGTGGAGAAATGAACATTCATTCATTCTATGGCTTAAGCTCTGAGAAAACAAGAATGAACAAAACAGACATGGTTCCTGCCTCACTGAGGGAGAGAGATGAGATATCTCTCAATTGATGGATCGAGCCATCGATGCACTGAGCATATGCCAAGAACTGTGCTATATGTTTTTCATCAGTTCCCTTATCCCTCATCACAACCTCAGGAGGTATATGCTTTCATTATGCCTATTTAATGAATGAATGAACTGAGGCTCAGAGAAGTTGTCACATGCTCAAGCTCACACCAGTAGATGAGAGGGCTGGGGCTTATACTTCAATCTTCCATTTTAAATCACTGCAAAATTGCAGGATGGAAAGAGGTTGAGAGGGTGGGAGGGAAGGCAGGCCAAGAGGCAGAGAGAAGAGTTAGATACACAGAATGAGTCCACAAGCCAGGAGGACAAAGATGTTCCCTGAGACTGTGTGAGCACTTGGAGACCCTGCCGAGGCAGGAGGCGAATGAGGTTATTACACCCATCTGCGCAGATGGGGGCCTCCTGGGAAAAGTTATATGCAAATACCATGATGCAATGAGGTGAAATCCTCTTGCGTTAGCCCAGGCTGGGCCTGGCTCAAGCAGGGCCTGCACTGTGCCCTTTGGGAAGACCAGTCATCTGCTGCATGGGGAAGACATTCGCGCTTTCAGTTTCTAGAAAGGAAAGCCAGATCAAGGTCCCAGAGCGTGTGAAGGGATGGAAGGGATGAAAAAGTTTTTACATTTTTTTCACAGCTTTTGTTACATGTGTATAACAATTCATGTTGTATACCTCTCAGCTCTTCTTTCTTAAAATCTGCTCCTCAACAGCCTTCAACCAAAATTTGGGATTTACAGTTACATTACCATTTTACATTACAGTTTTTCACCCATGATTTCATTCAGCCCTTAGAGTTCACAGTGCAAGGTGGGGCTTAATGATACCAGTGCTCCAGCTGGGAACCTGAGGCTCAGAGAAAAGTAGCTTCTCCCACTTTAAATACCAGATCTGTCACTTTTTACTTTGGGCAAATGCCTGCCCCTGTCAGAGAGCCTCAGTTTCCCTGTCTGAAAAAGGGTGATTGTTTTATTACCCATCATCTTACAGAGTTGTCAAAGGATTCGATGTTTTCCTATTTAGAAAGTGCCTGACCTATAATAAATGCCCTTGAAAATGGAAGCTGCTGTTACAATGACCCGTGATGATTTTGATAAAAGTTATTGCAGGGCTAGCAAGAAACAGAGCTATGAGTTGAACTTGAGTCTGCTGCCCCTCCCCCACCAAATTCAGTCATTGGAAAACTATATCAGACCCAACCACCTGGCTCACTTCTTCTCTCTTTCTCTCTGCAGGTTACCCCATTCCCTATGTCCTGTGACCTACAAGGTGACTGTGCTTGTCGGGACCCCCAGGCCCAAGAACACAGCCGGAAAGACCTCCGGGGATACAGCCATGGCTAAGGAAGGACAAGGAGTTGACAAAGAATTCCCAGCGCCAGGACCCGCATCCCTTTGGTATTGATTTCACAGTCAGCTGCTCAACGGAATGGCCTCCCCACACCAGGGATCCTTAGCACCCAACCGGTCTGCCTTTAATTTCACCCAGGAAGGACTCATAGTAGGGGCGCATGAACCAAGTCTCGCCATGTTGAAGGATGAAATGGAATCCCATCCCAAAGTCTTAGATGGATTGCATATACAAGTGTGCTGTCCCAGAGCCTAAAATTCAAATCATTTGTCACACAGCCACAGCAAGAAACACGTTATACAGTTAGGAGTATGCACATATGTGGTTAGTACACATGCATGCATACGTACCCCAACAGACATCTGTGTGAGGGCGGTTTTGGAGACTGAGCGGAGAGAGACGGGAACAAACTCAGTCTTCCCTTTCCCAAGCTCCTAGTCAATACTGTCCTTGGGAGAAGAACAGTTGCAGAAACTGCTAAGACCAAGTGTTGTCAAGATAGCTTGTACTCTGAGGCTTGGAACATGTCAGGCATGCACTGTTGTGCAGTCCTTTGGGATTAGAAGTGAAATGGTCTCTGATCACCTACCTTCTAGGGAAGTAGAACCCAGGATGAGGTAAAGAATCCAAGGTATGCAAAGCCCCCTAATTCTTCTGCTGCCGTGGGGGGATTTTACCCCAACTCCAGGGTTAAGGCCAAGCTGGAAATGGCATAGGGTTGCAGTGTCAAGGTATTATAACAGCCCCCTGCTTGAGGCCATAATATCCCTCCAGAACCCACCCATTCCCCAAATCTTGCCTTGGGACCACATTCGCTGCTACTTTTCCTGCTGCTCTATCCTATACATTGAGTACCCCCAAGATGGTAGGACTAGGTTAGGAAAAACCCCACACAACCAAACAGTCTGCCTTAAGAGTGACCCACATCTTCCCACAGCTCCTCACTTCTTAGCCCTTCCGCAAGAGAAAAACCCTCATTGGCCCACATGGTGAGAAGTTAAATCCCCCATGGGTGGGTTTCTCATCCTAGGAGGGAGTAGAGGGACTAGAGATACTAAAACCCTCACTGAGAGTCCAGAATGTCTGAGCCAGTGTTAGATTTTATAATCAAGTGGACCAGTGTTAAATATGTTGTTGGGGCCATCCAGAGACTGCTGGAATTGTGGGGACTCTTGAGTTATTATCCTTATCCCAGCCTTCCTGGCCCTCCAGGCTAGATCAGGCTCTGGTGCTGAGGACCTCACGGTTGCCCTGAGCAGCATTCTAGAACAGAGAATCATTTTGGATATGATCAATCTGAGCTGTGTTCTTGAGGGCCCTCAGAGGGAAGCTAAAGAGCACACAGCGTCAGTCCCCAACAACCAAACACGGTCATCACGTTCTTCACATAGTCTTCCAGCTGTCAGGACTCCCATCCACACCTGTGGTTGGTCCGCCCTTCCCTCTTACCCAGGTTCAGCCTCCAAAAGTTGAGAGGGAGGTAGTCCATTGCATGTGGAAGCCCCTACCTCATTGGGGTCCTCTTTGCCTGTTTTCCACCAGTTACTTGTCCGCTCCTTTTGAATTAATATGGGAAGAAATTAATATGGAAAGAGGTGGCGAGAATGGTCAAGCTGGATATAATTTCTAGACCTGGAACTGAGAAAATGAGGCAGTAGGAGGGTATCACATAAAGATTGCTGTAAATCATGTCATCTCAAATCTAGTGAAAGCAAGCAACAAAAACAAAGTCTAGCACAGGAATGGGAAACCCCAGGCATGTGTGCTGACTCCTCATTGATGCACCTGAGGCAGTCATTGTTAATCAGTCATCGTCCTTTCTCCTATGGGGACCAAAAATAACTTCAGGAACGTTCTTCCTGTATTACTCCTGACAGCAATTACCTGCTGACCAAGAGCACTTGAGAAGACATCTATCAGCCAATATATACATATATCAAGGTGCTTTTTGCACAGGTGCCCACAAATGATGCAGTGCTTAGATTCGTGTGGCTTGTTCCGTGTTCCAAACTCTGAGACTGGGTTCCAGAATGGAGAAGCTGCCACCATGGTTAAGGACAGACTCAAATCCCTTATATTTCCTTCTTACAAACTCACATCTCATTTATATTCAGATCATTTTCTATAGTTACCAGGGCCAATCATTAGCAAAACCATCCTCAAAATCGGAAGACTTGATCCCATTTTGTACTCCCTCCAGTATCTTAGGACTCTTGCCAACTTCTAAAGCCCCTCTCTTGCCCTAGCTGAGTTATCAGCATGTGTGGTCAGCTGACAAGATATAAACTAAGAAAGGTAATGGTATGGGCCCTCCCAGTTGCTTTATCATGCATGGAAGTAGTGCAAAAAGTCTTGGAGACCCAAAGGCGCCATTACTAATGGTGGGGTTGCAGGAACCACAGAAAAACCTCACCGGCTTCCCTTAAATTGACCCTCGTGGTCTTTTCACTCTCACCCTGTCTATGCCCATACTCTCCAGCTGAGCAAAGTTTCCTAGAGGCTGACTTCGATCTTCAAACTCACAGATTGAGTTGAGCAAAGAACCACCCAGTCTCCTCCTTACCATCAATCAAACCTGTTACTCACAATGATATTAGGCAAGATAGGCTACCCCACTGATGACCAGCCTCATGCTCACGTGGGAGGCCCTTCTCAAAACTTAGAGAAAGAGACTCAGTTCTATTTGTGCGAGGCACTGATTTCCGGCTTCATTTTCTTTCTGGGAATGAACTCATGGTCTTATCCCTTTGATCATTTCCTGCTTAGGATAATGGAGTACTCACAAGGAGGCAGGTCTGAAGCACTGTTGTCTATCAGCAGCTCGGGGGCCCTAAAGCAGTTGGGGGTTCTGGGTTGAAGAAGTATTAGCCTGTTGGCAGCAAGAAAGAAAAGATGAGGAAGACAGTTCTCCAAACCCTGTTTTGGGAAGCCTTTCCAAGCCACAACCCTAACTGCATGCCCAGAGGACTTGCATTACCCCCATAGTCTGTGCCAACCACCTCTTAAGGGAAGATAGTCCTTGGGAAGTCCATTTTGGTGGCTAAATTAGGGTGTTAAGAAAGGGAGCGATCATAAATAAATAGGGCTTTGAAGATGGAGGGTATGCGCTGCTACTCCGGGCTTCAGCATGTTGAGTCACTGCCTAGACGGTTCTCTTGGCCTTTTTCCCACCTTGGCCAATGCTTAAATGCTATTTGTTGAAAATAATTCTTTCAGACAGATTTCAGCTACCTCCCTTCCAGGTTCAATTTAACTTGGTTGTAACTGTCAATTTGTTATAGGTCTTACCTGTGTTTTAAAAAGAAAAAGAAAGAACAAAAGAAAGAAAAAGGAAGGAAGGAAGAAAGGAAACCATAAATTCAAGTGAACAGTTTTGAGGTTTTATGTTTTGTGGTTGTTTTTGTTTTTTTTTTTCTGGAACTACTTCAAGTGGGAAAATAAAAAGAAATTGACGGTAAGAAAGCTGTACAGATAGAGATTGATAGAAGACAAAGATTAAAAGGAAATAAAATGCATGATTAAAAATAAGAATTAAAAAAAAAAAAACCTATTTTTGTGCTTCCTAAAGGGAACTATTTATTCTACAGACTAGTAGGTAGACACAACCATAAAAATTTTCCCTAGCAGGAGACATAAAGCGGGATCTTATAATGCTGTTATTTTCTGTACATTGTGGTAGGTCCAGGAATAAGACCTCTTCCCCCTTGATATGTAGTTGTCGTTGTCGGGGGAGCATTTTGTCTATTTGTTTGGTGGCAATCAGTGGTAGCCGGGAGTAGGGAGGGCTGGAAATTGGTTTTACCTGATATTAAAGGGACATAGTGTGTTGTGCTTTTCACGTTATAAAATGTTTGTATTTACCAGTAGAGCACTGGGCTTTATAAAGACTGCACTTAGAATCACACTGCACGATCCACTTTCCTAAAAAAGCTGCTACATGACCAGACAGGTACTTCCCATGGTTTTTGAGAAACAAAACAAAATCAACCAAGCAATCAGCAAATGCAAAGACTAAATAGCAAATGAATAAAAGCCTATTCTTGTAACTTATTTACGTTTTGCCAAATTCCTACCAATGGTTTGATCTGTAAAAGATTTGTATAATAGCCGAGAGAGGAGTATGTCTCTAGAGAAAGAACCTGGAATTCTTGACTCCAGGCTTCCGTTTGCTCAGTGATCTTGAACAAGTCCTCAGATAGCTTCTCCATTTGCCTCAGTTTCTCCAGCTGCAAAATGGGGATGATACTACTTACCTACCTCACAGTGGGATGGCAGGGGATGGTGAGGCCCTGAGGATTTTAAAGGGGCTGTGGCAATCTGTGAGAGACACAAAGTCCATGGGTTACTTTTTAAGAATGCACAGGCCCATTGGCCATTTAAGAAAGACAGGGAGTGCTCATGTGATAGTTCAAGGAAGAAAGCTGGAGCTCCTGGATTTTATAATCCACCTGAAGAGAGAGGCTTGTATTTGGGAATATTTCACTCCTAGGTACATTGGATTTTCTCCTCCCCTGTGCTGGCCTTTACCAGTTCTAGAATTTGATTAAAAGCCAATTACATCTTACAGTGTAAAAGTCAGTTTACTGTGGTCTAGTCAAGACTCATGGGCCATTTCCAACCTCATGGAGGAAGGGAGTCACTAAAATCTCATCTTCTTCTCAGACTTAAAATTCCACATCAAGTGTTCATTAAAAGAAGATATGGCATTCTGAGTGCTAACAACTCGGGGCTTCTCAAACTAATACACCAGCAGTCAGTGAGGAGAATTTTGAACAATTATTGAGTTGCTTTCTTGGGTCTCTATAATCAATAACCTGTCCGCAGATATCTATCTATATAAAGATATTATATATAAATATAAATTTACATATATATGCACATGTATATATAGTTGTACATATATGTGTGTATATATATACTTAAATGTAATATTTACAAAATAAAACTGTGATCTCGTCTAGAGAAAATGTATTCATATTACAAACTGCTCTTC